CGCGGCCTCCCCTCTCCCTCCTCTCGGGGCCCTGGCCCACGTCCAGGGGTGCCAGGCCGGGCTCCTGTCCGGGAAGGCACCGCGGAGAGGCGCCGGGCAGCCCCTTTCCCTTCTCTGCCTGCCCACCAGACCCGCGCCGCCCGCTGCAGCGCCTCTGCCCCCCGGGCCCCGGCTCCGCATCTCTCAGCGTCTTGAGCCCGGCCGGCAGCTCCCCCCCGCCCAGCGCTTCCCGCCTTCCCCCGCCCCGGCGTCTGCCCCGCGTGAACACTTCTCCCGGGATCCGGCCCAGCGGCTGACTGCAGAACGGAGGCAGGCGGGCTGACCCCGAGGCCGAGCGCCAGTGCGGGGGTGTCAGGACATGGCCGGGCCCCGTTCCGCGCCAGGCATGAACATGAGCTCCGCGGCGCGGAGCGAGCAGGGATCTACGGCCGCCCACGGGCGGGATCTGCCGCTCTCCGCCCGCCTCGAGCCCGCTAGGGCTCCACGCTGCAACGCGCTGCCCCGGGGGTCGGGCCGGCGCGGGCTTGAGGGAAAGGTTCACGGAGGAAAGGCCTCTGCTCCGCCCTGCCGGCAACCTCCCCTCACCTCCCTAATCGCAACTATTAAAACAAAAAGAAAAAGAAACCCCATCAGTCCTAGAGCCGCGGGGGCCGCTTTATTCGTGCTCTGGAATAAAAGCACCGCACGTAGAAACGGGAGGCGCCCGATCTGGAGCGGGGCGCGAAGCCCCAGAGCCCCGCGTCCACGTCGGCTTCTCTGCTGCGTCCCCTTGGACCGAGACCTCAGGGCCAGATTCGCGCCCTGCAACTTTCACCCCCCGGTGGGAAAAGTCTAAGGACAAGATGAGAAACGTCCCTTGAACAGCTGCAGCGCCAGGGTTGACGTGACCCCCCGTCCCGTGTAACCCTCTGGGGGGAGATAAGGGCCGAGGTGGAGGGAACAGCGGGCTGGGAGCCCAAGGAGCGACTTCAGAAAGTTTCAGAATTAACGAAAAAACAAATAGAAGGAGAACGAGGCAGGCAGGAGCCGGTCCCGCGAGTGCGGTCTGGCCCGAGAGCTGCAGTGCCGGCCTGGCCGAGCTCTGGCCGGAGGCAGCGCGGACGCCCCGCGCAGCCCGGGCGGGCACTGCGGTCTCGGCGAGCCCCCTGCCCGGCCGACCTGGCGGATCCAGCTGCTGCGGGCCGGGGCACGGGC